AAAAATTATGTGTATATATATATATATATATATATATATATATATAAGCATAAAAGAGAGTCTATTTTTAGACTTTGTTTGCATTGTGAAATTATTTTCAACAATTAAATGCATTTATAATTAACAATAAAGAACATTTTTCACAACATCTAAGCAAATACTAACTGATGGGAATGTAAAAAAAAAGATTTATACAGTACATAGAATACTTACAATTCTATTTAACAATGTACTACTATGGGATAGTAGTATTTGTTTTAAATGTATGAGTTTATTATAATTATTTTTTTTAAAAATCATTGTGTCCTGGATGATTTGTATAAAGGTATTACTGTGATGAATGGGATTTTTTTATTTTATCCATTACAATAAAGAGAATTTGAGGTGAAAAGTGATTGCTCAGTGATCACTGCAATCTTAGAAGTCCCCAAAATATATTCTTTATTATGAAAACATTTTTAAATTATAATTTAGTATTTCATAAATTTATAAAAAAATGTATATATAAAAAAATGACAAAAAACACCTTACTTTGTTTTGATTTTAGGCTAAAATATCACCAAAACATCCCGAGCAAAAAACGCTTACAGTCCATGAGTCCGAGCAGGATTAGGGAGGCCAGTCCGGTCATGGTCATGGCTAGAAGAAGAATTCCACGACGACCAAACCTGTCCACCGTTGCCCAGAGCAACAGCCAGGCCCCGCCCCCTGCACATACAGACAGCAGGTACGTCCAATAGAAACTGGGGGTGAATCCTCTGACATCACCTCTGAAGGAGCTGTAGCAGTGACTGATGCCATGAGAGATGAACCTGAACACAAGAATACACTTCAAGATACGATAAGACCAGCCACCTAACAATCAAACAAGACAGGAATATAGGAATAAATACATGTAAATGTTGAAATAAATCTGGCAATATTTAAATAAATATATAAATGCTTGTGGGAATAAATAAATGTGACCCTGGAGCACAAAACCAGTCATAAGGGTCAATTTTTCGAAATTGAGATTTATGCATCATCTGAAAGTTGAATAAATAAGCTTTCCATTGATGTATGGTTTGTTAGGATAGGACAATATTTGGCCGAGATACAACTAACTATATGAATATCTGGAATCTGAGGGTGCAAAAAAATCTAAATATTGAGAAAATCATCTTTAAAGTTGTCCAAATGAAGTTCTTAGCAATGCATATTACTAATCAAAAATTAAGTTTTGATATATTTACAGTAGGAAATTTACAAAATATCTTGATGGAACATGATCTTTACTTAATATCCTAATGATTTTTGGCATAAAAGACAAACCTATAATTTTGACCCATACAATGTATTGTTGGCTATTGCTACAAATATACCCCAGCGACTTCAGACTGCTTTTGTGCTCCAGGGTCACATATATGCATACATTAATAAATTAATGCATAAATAAATATACAATTAAAAGAATAAAAATACAATTAACAATAAATATGTAAACAATCAGTGAAGGGGGAAAATAAAAATGTATTCAGGACAAAATTATATCAAAAAAATTATTTTATTTTTAGCAAGTCATTTATTCCTTTATTTTTTATTACATGTATTATTATTTGATTTATTTTTAATTTCTGCAGGTTGGATCCACCATATTTCTCCATTGTCAAACATGACATTCAACTGAAAATAAATAAGTTTTGCTATTTTGACGTTACTTTACTCTAACACCCAAAACCTGATCATTTAAGCACACTAGGCAAGAAGTTTATCAGCAGGAATGACTTACGAAGTGAATCCCAGCACACACAGGTTTTTCCAGATGTTTCTGCTATGAAGCAGCTCTGGGAAAGACAGATGAGGACGTCTAGGAGACGAGGACGACTCCGTGTCCAACTCTGCATCAGACACAAGAATGCACAGTTTGTGAACTAATATTAGACGAAAACCTCCGGCAGAAACTGTGTTTGGAAGCATTCTCCAGCGTCAACAAGAGCAAGGTATTTTTAAACTGACCCGAGAAGCTGTCGTCATCTCTCTGCCGCTCGCTGAAGGAATTCATGTCTCCCGTTCTCTCGGAGAGCAGAAGCCAGCGCGGCGATTCGGGAAACACTCCCGGGATCCTGAAGACAAACAAACACATCTTTAAATGCCAGCTAAAAGAGCAGCTTCGTGCATTAATAGGATCATCTGCTCAACAAACAGCACAACTGGGAGAAGCGACAGCATCTGGTAGTCACAGAAACCAAGATGATTCATCATTACTAACGAGCGATAATGTGCGCCGGCTGCACTCAAAGCTCTGAAGCTTCACAGGGGATTTCAGATCAGTATTTCTGAATGATGCTGAAGGAGCAGTCGCTTTGCATTTAGGCTGATGAAGTGTTGAAAAGCCTCCTGTTCCCAGCTGCTACAGCGTTTAATAACACAAGAGATATTATCCACTGCACTGAAGGCCTGGCCTGCAGGAAACTGTGTTTACGTAACATTATGCATCAAATTAATCACCTGCAAATGTGTTTTTCAGAAAGCAGCTCATAGAACTGGTTTCAGGGATCTGTTTCAGGTCATAGAAAGGTCACTTCCATTATCAGGTCAGTGCTTTCTTATGGTCTACATTATAACTAAGTGCAAACTTTTTGTTTGGATTTCTGATCTGAATATTGTTTTGTGAACTCATGCACCTCAAACAGTAGAGCATGACAAAGCACATGTTGATTAAAAACCCTGAAAGCAATTTAAGTCACTTTGCATAAAAACATCGGCCAAATGCATAAATGTAAAATTTTCAGTACCAATTTTGGTACCATGGCAAAAAAAAAGTTTTTGATTATTTGAGAAAAAAATCTATACATACACATATATATATA